GAGAACAGGTGGAGTGCAGGCGGACTGGAGGTGAGAACATGGCACTTTTGGTTCAAAGATGAGATCTGCTGACCTTTTTTTTTCTTTACATTGTAGGCATCGTGTATCTCTATGATGTCTGATGTATCCCATACATTTGTTTGGGATTTATGCTAAATTGCATCTGTCATGACATGTTCCCTTTAAATGAACTGCATTTTGTTTGATTCACTGGGTTGGCCACCCTTGCTCATGCATGCACCCATTACCTTGAATATCGTCTCATACATTGCCTACTCATTAGTATATGCCCAAGGCGTACATATGTAGCATGCACCAGACTTTCTGCTTTATTGCATTAACACATCTGATTCCATTCATATATATTTAAACAGATTGCAGATAACATACATCGCAAGATTTATAATTAACAGATAGACACAATTAAATAGTTTCAAGCAAGATATCTTATAGTTTTACGGATTTTATTCTTTAAACCGATAGGGAGTCAGATTTCTTCTGTTGGTCAAGACATCTTAGTAGGCACACACAATTCTTTTTATAGCATATCCAAAAATGACTTTATTATGCAATATTTTTTTTTTTAGAAACAATTGCAATTCTCTTTTCGTTTTTTAAATCTCATGAGAAAACATTTAAAAAGGGCTTCAACTTCATCATCAGCAAAAGTGGGTACTTTTTACTCAGCAGATTTTCTAATAAGAAAAGAAAAATCACCATTTTAGAAGTGAATAATATTGGTTGCTTTTTTTGAGACAGGCAGTTAGTGGGTAAAATCAATGTAATTTGGTACATCTCATTGCTAGTTATTTAAGCTACATCATTCTGAACCGTTATAACTGACATGTCAGTGTGGACACATCGCCAATAACACCTAATGATCCTGTTGAATGAAAAGAGCTGTTTGTTAAGTTTAGTTTCTGTTCAATAGACTTTGGGTAACTTGGGCTAGTATTTTCTATAAATAGCTATTCTGAAATGTGATTTATGAGAGCGTATAATTTTATTTAGATAAAATGTCCAAGGTTTCATTTTTGTTTTAACTTAGGTTTATTTGTTTGCTTGCATTCTTTTGTTTGTCTGTTTGTCTGTTTGTTTGTTTGTTTTGTTGTATTTTCCTTTCCATACACGTATGATTTCTTTGTATAGAACAAACATGAGCATATACGACAGCGTAGAACAAGCAAATAGGACATGGAGCTGTCATAACAGAGATCTATTGTAGCTCCCATATGTTCTACAGATGTGTCCCTCACCGCTAGCTTATGCAAACATATTAAAGATAAACTATGTCTCAAATGAATTTGTGCTGTGCAGTGATTTGGCTAAATCATGACAGCTTTTATTGGATACTCACTGTAGATGCTATCTACAGAAAACACTTTGAATAGTGCTGCTCACCAGAGACTAAAATAAAAAGGTAACCTTATTAACCATATTTGAGTCTTGATATGTATGTTTGAATGTTATTCCAAATACAAATGTATATAACATGTAAAGAATAAAGCCTTTGGCCTGTCATGAATTCATTGTTTGTCTATTGTATTAAATATCAAGTCCATTGTGTTTGCATGAATGGCTAGAATCAGAGTTAACCAAATAGGTCATTGACAAAGTCAGAAGAATAACCAGAAAATAAATTCAGAGAATAAAATCATTGGTCCTTGACTACTAAGGGAGTCAAGCATACGATTAGCAAAACCAGGAACATTGTTAACTGGCTAGTGAAGCTTTACTTTTTTTTGCGTTGGGCAAAGAAGAATAAAAAGGATAATTTTCTCTTATTAATAAGATGATCTGTCCTGGAAGATTTACAATGCAATTGTCCATTTTAGATCGTGTACATGCATTTTCTGTAATCCTCAGTAATAGAAGATTGCTTAACAGCACATCCCCACTGTTCTAAATTCAAACAATGTTTTTTGTTGGGTTTTTTTATGTTATAATAGCTCCACCATGGGTCTATAAATATGTTCTCAATGAAGGGAATATTTTCTAATGGTTTTATTGTTTCCTTGAGCTTGTGTGAGTGATATGAGCATCAATCTAGCAGTTTCTTCTCACTTCATGCTGTGAGCTGACCATGTATCTGAAATAATTTATTTGAAAAATAAGCTTCTTAGTAGTTGCAACTTTAATCTTTACATTACATGTCTTATAATGTCTACATTTAGAAAATACTTTTGTAATCCTCTCGTATTAAGAACATAACATGTTGTGTGTGTGTGTGTGTGTGTGTGTGTGTGTGTGTGTGTGTGTGTATGTATATATATATATATTTATTAGAAACACACACACACATGTACACAAACAACATATACATTTTATTTTTTTATTCAATGTCTGTCACTTGAAATCCTAAGGTAAGGTAAAATGGTTTTGTACTTTTTCTATCTGTAGATTAATGGCAATCTATGAATGCATCTGTGATGCCCTAAGACACATACACTACCACTAAAATAGATACCAATAAAGAAAAGAAAGATGATGATATTCTTAGATTCTAGAAGTGCTAAAAGATATTCCATTTGCTCTTTAGCTAAAAGCTATAAATTCAGTTGTGACTTTTAATGTTCAAAATCTCCTGATGGGGAACATACAGATATAAAAATTCATAAAATAAATAAATAAAAGAATGATAGGAAAATTACATTAATTTCAATAGACAACATTACAAGGCATGCTAATTTTAGAAAACCATATGTCAGGCAGGGGAGGTATATGGGGGTTTGAAATGCAAAAAAATAATTTGGGCACTAAATGCACAGCCAAGAAAGGTGTAAACTGGAAGCACCATGTGAGACTAGAAAACACTGCTTGAAGCTGTAATTCGTGAAGTGAGTAAAATGTACAGGGGGAACTGAAAATAGGCCAGGACTTGAGAATGCTAAAGTAGAATTAATAGTAGGTGTCTGCAATGGACCTATAGGGTCTGGGATATCTTGACCGACTAACTGAAAAAATACCAGTGCCCTAATGGATATGGGTGCTTAGTATGTTGTTCATTAATACATTGACAATGAATAGAATAAACTGAGGAGATATGGGAGGAACTGAGTGGAGTTTAAGAAAAACTGGACAGACTTGAATAGCATAACAGAGACTGGAATGGATCAAAGGGTTTTAAAATGTCTGAGGTAGGAGGGATAGGGTAAGATCTGAAAGTACTGTTGGTTTATGGAATGGACTAAATGAGTCTGGAACTGATTGGGAGTTGGGAAAAGGAACGAAGTTGGTTTGAGATAAGATGTATCAAAAAGATAGGGCTGACTGAATTGGATTAAGATGGTCTATAAAGAACAGTTGAGACTATTGTGGAGGTGAATGTAGATGGATGAGGATAGAAAGACAAGTAGTGTAGCATGGGGCTGTAGTGTCTATATAGGCTACCATTGTGAAACTGGAACAGTGTGTCAGTTTTTATAAAGTGGCTGAGTTTAATGCCAGACACATTAAGCTTATGTTATACGCTCTTCCATTGTGAGTGCATTCCTTATTTTTTACACTCTCTGCATGTACTCACAGTATTACACTATTATCTGTTTTTCTTCTTTTGAGTACTAGTGTATTGTCGACCACTGTGTACAGACTGTTACTTACAAGGAGCACACACCTGTTATTGGATTCATTTTAATTAATGCTATACAAACTAGAGCATTTGCTTGTATTAATCTGCACCATTCATTTTTTTTCTATGTACGTAACTATGGACTTAAGCTCCATCCTACTTGAAACAAACGTTTTTCACATCATTTTCTATACTTTGGTATATCTGTTTGGTATTTGGCACAACCGGTGCTCTTTTCATTGTTAAGCATTAAATAATGGGCTGCACATTTTTAAGTAAGAAAATCAATTATAACAAGCACAAACTGAGCATTAACACATAAACATTAGTTTAGATAGGTTATGAGCGTATAGTGTCACTTGGAAGAAAGGGTTTATGGCTGGATACCAATCATTAAACTAGGTTACGAGAGTAGAGTGTTCCTGGGGAGATAGGGTTTATGGCTGAATACCAATCATTCAAGTTGTCACACCGCCCGCCGGGTCTGCTCCTGTCAGAGAGCGGCAGGGGTCTCGGAGGGCATGCATCATTGCTTTTCTTACCTTTCAGGTCTCCGCCCGCCGGATCAGCTCATACCTGGCGGGCACGTCTCGGTCCGGTGGCATTCCCACATGGTTGTGGGAGTGCCGCCCATCGCTCACCCCTTGTGGTGGCTCCTCCCCCTCTCACAGCGGTCGGCTCTCCAAACATTAGAGATGCCGGCCGCTGCAGCTGTGAAGCATATAAGGGTTTCCATGTTTAACCCTTAAAGGGCCAGTTCCGTAAATTTCATGAAAGTGTTTTACATACCCTCCCATGATCGCATGCTTCCCTGCAGCCAATCAGAGAACACTTTAGACTATATAAGCCTGTTTTGCCCATTTCTATGTGCCCTCTCATGGTTTCCAATTGGTTATCCGAGAGCGCGTTTCTTGTATTGATTCTTGTGTATTTGACCTTGGCTTCCCTTTTGACTATCCGATCTCTGTATTCCTTGACCTTTGGCTTGGCTCCTGTCTATTCTGATTTCTCCGTTCCTTGACCCGTGGCTTGTTCATCATTTATGTTATTTCTACGTCTTATCTTTTCCCTGTCTTGTGGCTATTTACCTTTATATGTTAAATCCGGCCATTGTAAGGCCCGGTAATACGTCTTAGGTATTTTCTTATTTTCTACTTAAATTCTGCGTGTTGGGCATCTACAGGAATCCTACCACAAGTAGGCCTTATCCCAGATCCCATGTCATCCTATGCCCTTTGAGGGCAGAGCACAGTCCCGAAACAGGGCCAACAGCCAGAAGGCCAGTGGGTCGATAACATGCATATATTTTCTAAAAATTAATTCTTAGTTGTGAATTTAATTTATGCTACTCCTATTTATTTTAACAATATTAAAACTGTTAGAAATAATAAAATATTGAAGAACAAAATTTCCACAATAGAATGATACAATATTTTCAAACTAAAAAGTTATGCAATAAAAGCACGTAAATTACGTGCTTTTATTGCATAACTTTTTGGTTTGAAAATATTGTATCATTCTATTGTGGAAATTTTGTTCTTCAATATTTTATTATTTCTAACAGTTTTAATATTGTTAAAATAAATAGGACTTGTGCATTACATTTGGTCAGAAATGCTTTAGACTTTATAAAGGTAGGAATGCCTGCAAGCTTGATTCTACACATTTCAGTTAGTTCACTAAAAAATATATTCAAAGAAACTGCAATACTTCATTATTTTGCATCTACATTGCTGGACTAATACTGTAACTCAAATACCATGACTTACCTTTGGAAACAAATATGTGGCATAAGGCAAAGCCACCTGTACACTCGATGTCCTACATGTGATCAGGCTTAGTCATTTACTGTGCTGCATCATGTATAAATTCATTATATTAAAAAGGAATCTAATTTACTTTGCAATGTGTCTTTCACATGGAATGTTACCTCTGAATCCTGAATAATTACCTATGTTCCTTCTAGAAGCTCATTTTACATTGTCTGTAAAGCTGCCTCCATGATACCTATCAAGCATTTTCCTTCTAATCAAACAGAATATAAAGTAGAAACACTATTTCTATTTTAGTGATCTGTTTTCATGATACAGTGTGATAATATTGTACGAAAGACACTAAAAGATATACAATATTTTCGGTCTAACACTGATTGGAGCCAGATACAAGTTGACATAATGGAGCTTATGAGCAGTCTCTACAGCACCCCAAAATGTGGGATATACCTACTAGCTGATTGCTGTATGTTCTTCATGATGTAATTGGATCTTTTGACTAATGTATTTGTTTCAACCCAGTTGACTAACTTCTGTCTTTGAGAGCAACCATACTTTATTTGACCACCGCCAAGCCTCTATCTCAGGTCATCATTGTCCACTTCCCATCCATACAAGGCAAGATTTTTTTTACGTAGTGAGTATGCGTTAAATATTTACTAATTGTTTTACTGTGGATTTATTATATCAAAACACAGTTAAATAAAATTCAACCTAAGTATTAAAATATCGAAGTGTTTTGCGTGAGATGAGAAAAAACAAAGAAACTATTGATGCTTGATACAAAATTCCAATGTGGTGCATGGGTAGACCATGAATTATTCTCCAACAGGAAACAATCTATTAAAAAGAAAACAGTGTATCTCGTAGAACGATATAAGAAAAACTGTTTTCTTTTTGCAGCTTTATACTAAAATGGATTTTGTCTCTGCATGACTCTCCTGTACATGCTGCTACACATTAAGCCACATTGATCTTGCTAAACTGTATTTCTAACTTATTGCTGCCAGGATAAATTTTGTAATACATTCTTATCTTTTCCATTTTCTTACTTTTTTACTTGGTATGTTTACCTTTACTTGAAAAAAAAGTATATGAGAAAGTACTTATTCCTACCTACATATAACTCCAGCACAAAGTTCACCGGACATTTGGTATGCCTTTCAGTGCAGTTATAATTATTATAGTGCCAACATATTCGGCACACTTTACAATTAGAGAAAGGAGATATTTAGAGGTAATGAAGTACCTTAACAATCTATGAGGATTTATTTGTAGGCAGAAATACATTGTTTATTGTCTTGCCCAACAGGACATTTGCAGGGTTATTCAGTAAAGTGAAATTGTCAGGAATTCATAGAAAATTCAAAGTGAATTCAAAATGTAAGGTCCAAGTACCTGAACTGGAAGCATAGCTGACTCTGAAAATGTTTCAGTTCAGCTTAAAGAGCCTTATATTTTAAATTCTCCTTGAATTCACTTTGATTTCTCACTTAAGTAAATTACACCGTTGGTGAGTACGTGTTTACTTGTACTTTAGAATCCAATACAAAGAAGAATGGGTGACTGTGAAGTAGACTCGGTAACTCGTTTGGTTCCAAACTGTAATTTGTCATAATTTGGGTTGATCTGGTGATTGTCTGAAATTCAATTTCCAAACTGCCATGTACCAGAATCATGGAAAAAATTACTTGTGCAAAGCACAAACATGCTTGTTTTAAATTGTGATTTGGGGTACCATTCTTGATGAAATGAAAAAGATGATTTTTGTTTGGTTTGCTGATATGAGCTTTCCAATCGAGGTGGAATGTAAAAGATAATTGATGGTTAAGGGACAGCCAGTAATTTTCTCCTGACAACACGATTCTCCTCTTGATGTCACTCCCCCTTGCTGGAGGGAGAGAGATATCTTGAAGGATGTAAAAATATACACAGATATAAGCGCTAGAATGTCAACTGAGTATAGCTATGATAGCAGGCAGCAAACTCTAATAGTAAGGGTTACCTTCAACCCCTTACTGAAAGATATAGAGAACACAATATACACAAAATATAGGTTACGCAATATAAAGTCCAAATAGTCCACAATTGCTAGAGTCTGTTCTTAACTGGTAACTGTCCAGACTTTAAATGGTGGAAGTATATAGAATAAAAGCAGAAAATAACCAGTGATGGTGAAGAGCGTATGGACCTAGGTACCAGGATTGGCTGAGGGGAGGATTTGGGCAGCACATGTGTCCATGCTGCACTAGTCTGTGAATAGCATGATCTGCTGATGACAGATGTCCAATATGCACAAAATTGATTAGCCAACCCAAAAGTCTTTTTTTTCCTGGCTGGGTAATGATGCTGTAATAACACTGCTGGATGAAGACTTACACCTTTGACAGCAAAGGCTATATATATATATATATATATATAGTTGGAGCAACCCTTTCTAAAACTTCTTAATGATAAAAAGGAGATGAAGAAGGCTTAATGCAAATAACTATTTGCAAGCAGACATCCCAACTATGTCTGTTGTACTCTAATTGCAAATATACTCCCTAGAATATACAACCATCAATGATAAAAAAAATGTAGTTCCGGGGGGCAGGGCCTAATGTCCAAGATGGCCAGACTTGTTTCTCTGTAGCTCCTGTTAAACTGAGCTGCAATTCATGCATGCATTTAAAACTACGAATCTGGCTATCAGAGGTTATGAGCTGTAGAAAGATCGATATTACCTATTTCTCACTGAGTCCAGACAGAAGCCGTATATTTACCTGTGTTTATGGCCTACTAAATTGCCTTGCTGGTGGAGTGGCGGCCGATCTCCCGATGCTGAGTGCGCACTTTGATGCACACTATTGCACCCCTGTTATCCCCTCTTTGGGATGGTGGGGGTTATCCTGATTCACAGAAAATGAAGTAAAGAGATCCCCTCAATGGGAGCCTCGACTATCACGAGGTGTGACAAAAGTGGCCACCGCATTGGAGCATCAGCACGGCCTAGTAAGCCAGAAATGGATAGAATCATTTGATGCCCAATTTAATGCAATATGCCAAGATTTCTGGCATCGACTCAGCGACTGAACCAAGACACTGCCCCTCCTGATACTTTAATACCAGCAGCTGTTTGCACCACCCGTTCCTTTTCTAGGCTAGGGGCCCATTTGGAGCAGCATCCGAGTCATCCATACACCCATGGCGGTAAAGTTTGGGCACATGATCCTTCCATCTGGGGATGGGGGACCTATGGACATGGGGCACTAGCCAACATTAAGGCCTGGAACTGTGGTTATGGGGGTCATGGATTGGTGAATTACTCCACCTTATACAGACCAACAAAGGACCTGCAAGATCTTGTGATGAAGGGAGAGAATCATGGTCCTGGCGAGGAACTGGTCTCTCACTCATGGCCTACCCGCGACTTTGGGTGTCCTATCTTTAACGCCTCCTGTCACTCAGAGTACTATCCATCTGCTTACAATGCCTATGTTCAGCACTCTGAGTATTGTTTTTTAACATTGTGATATTCTCTTTACATGTTTTTATCTTTTTATTTCAACACGTTGTCAGTTAGTACAATCAGCAATGCCGTTTGATTTTTTTTAATCATTGACAATTTACCTAGCTTGTTTTTTGCTCATTTCATACAAAGAGTGCACCATAGTAATCTACAGTATTATTGTGCTGTCTTCTCCGTCTGTCAGTATAGCCTGATTTCTATAATGTTTTGTTCTACCTACCCTCTGACATTTATTATTACTAGCTTGTTATTATAATAAAAAAAGTGCAGTTTCTCTGAACGCCATGCTACTATTTTCTATTGTCTGTTTTTACTATGCTTGTTATTGCTGTCGTGGTGTATCAAGCATACTTGTTATCAGTTGCACAGCATAAATAAAGATAGGACAAAAAAAAATAATAGTTAAGTTTAATTAAGTCATTAACTGTTAATGAAACAGTGTATACAACACATTTTGTCACTAAAGGATAAAATTGTAGAATATACACTTGTTAGATGCATTGTTTCAGGCAATCATCACACTATCCTGATACAAATAGAATGTTATTTGTGACTCAGAAAAAATAACATAAAACACGAACAATAAACAAACAGAGAAGCTACATTGATTACTAGATAAGCTCATTATTTAACAGCCTCTATTGCATTGCATTTAAGTTGAAGTTCCAAAATTAGAATATAATACAAATTGCTCAAGAAATGACTCTTTCTCCCCAATGGAGTTGAAAGGGTCTGTTTAAAAAATAAAATAAAAATAAAACATTAAAATAATAATTTATGCTTCTTTATGGTCATAAGTGAGATTGTTCTACATAATAACTATAACTATACAATGATTTTACGATAACGACAGCTTGAATTTAACATTGTCATATCATTGTCAGATATACTGGCACCTGGGGCCGGGCAGACAGCCCTAAGTCCAAGGGAATTAAAGAGGGAGGTGCTAGGGGACTCAACCCTGCGGGATGGAGCACTGTCATTCTCCCTTCACAATCCCAAGCAATTGGGTGCTGCATGCCCAACCCCCACACTTAAGACTGTCCTCCCACATGCAAGTTCCACCTCCCACATGCAAGCTCCACCTCCCACATGCAAGCTGGGTCTCCCACACTTAAGCTGATGACCTTGCTGGAAGGAAGAGGCTCGAAAATGGCAACTTCATCTACTCATTCCTGGTAATTTTCAGCCCATGACAGTGATTTTGTGTGTGTGTCTGCCTGC